GATTGGAGAAAATAAATACATGATTGGAGAAAATAAATACATGATTGGAGAAAATATTAAAACAACACACAGATATTAAGCCAGAAATATTTTTGCTAGGCATAATACCTGAAAAAAATAACAAAGGGAACCTAAATTTAATATTTCATTTCTTGACAGCAGCAAGAATTGTATTTGCACAGTACTGGAAAAATGAGGAAACTCCTATAGAGCAGTGGTCTCCAACCTTGGCAACTTTAAGACATGTGGACTTCAACTCCCAGAGTTCCTCAGCCAGCAAAGCTGGCTGAGGAACTTTGGGAGTTGAAGTCCACAAGTCTTAAAGTTGCCAAGGTTGGAGACCACTGTTATAGAGGATGATGTGATTAAAACAAACTTTAGATTGCGCAGAAATGGATAAAGTGACACTAAAAATAAAAGAAAAAGAAGAGACAGAATAGTTTTCAACATGGAACTTCTTTTATAAATGGTTGCATAGCAGAGGTAGAAATTAGAAGTGGGAAAACATTATTGTATAAAAATTGATCCAGACAATACACTGTTCAGTAAGCACTTATGTATATAATATGAAAATATATAAACTGTTAAAAATATATATATAAATCTGACTTCAGCTCTTTCTTATGATGACGATTTGAGTACAACCCCCCCCGCCAGTGCAACTAAAACAAATGTATCAAGTAGATTCTCAATTTTTAAGAGGTCAAGTTTGGGACTTTTGCCTTATGGACATTAACAAGGCTGAGAATTCTTCAAGAAATGACATGATAGCCATTTCAGTGAGGGAAAATTTAATCGGGGAAGATATGCTTCAGACCAATTTACAATGTCTATCAGAAAAATGATATTTAATTCCGTACAGCAAGGAGAAGCTGAGATGATTAAAATGATTCTTTTATCCAAATAAGAGATCATATTTAATTTTGTCTCTAGTTTGACATTGCTTCTGGATTTTCTGTTTGCAATGAGAAAAAAATGAAATGATTCCATTTTTGTAAACTAGACATGCTTATTGTGATAGAAATAATTTCTACATTATGTTTTGTAAAAGCAAAATGTTATCGTTGTAACGTTGTTACCTTTGACTATACGAAAGAGTGTCAACAGTTGATGCCTTTTTCTTTTTTTTTCTCACATTATACTATACTGGCTATTTCCCTCTTCCTCTCATATTACTTTTCCATTTTTTTCTTTCTATGTTATACTTCTATAAACTAATAAAAAAGTTAAATTTAAAAAAAACCACTCATGAACATTCGTGAAAATACAAGGGAAGAACATCCAGGCAACAAGATGTAGATGATACACAAAGCAATTTATGCGTCTGCTGGTTTTATCCCTTTCTCCAACGATTGGGAAACAAGATTATGCTTACAATAAAGTAGATTTAGCCTAACTATTCATGTGTCCTTTCTGCTTTACTTGGGACAGGCAACATGAAGTGCCATGTGGCATTTTTTGCAACCAGAATTATACAATCACTAATACATCTCCAAATCTTTGTTGAGAGGTCGGCCTAGTTTGACTGATTGTAAATTTAAATTTCTAATTTCCTTGCTGGGTTTTGCTCAGGAATAGCAGTATCATATGTTGAGTCCACAAAGGAAACCAGAGGTCTCCTATTGCTCCCCCATATAAGTGGCTAATCTCTCCTTTCCTACCTGAGTCAGGAATCCGGCAGTTCTTTCACCTTCACCAACAGGAGATGATTCAGTGAACAACGGTGACTCCATTTTGTCCACTGGGAAGAAGAGAGACAGAATGGAAACAGGAAAGGGTTCAAATTCATCTTTTCTAGATTGAAGGGACAAATTAAGATTTCTCCCTGTCCTGCCCTCCATTTTGCCACTAATACACTCCACCTTTCATAGGCTCCATCATGGGAGGCAAGAATAAGGGGAGAAGACCAAATCCACCACATGCTGAAGAACAAACATCAGTTAGATTGTTCTCCTAACCTTTTGGAACATGGAAGTTTATACTTTGGCATCCGAAGCATTTGCTCAATCCCTGTAATTTCTCCCCCCACTCTCTGCAGTTTGAAATAGAGAAATTGGTGATATTCTAGCAACCCAGGAAACATGCCTGCAAGGACAGGTGGTGTTGGAAATGGCCCAGCAAGGATCTGTGTAGGATTTTAGTCAAAACTATCTCTTAAGGAAGGCCAAAGACAGAAATCTATCACGATGGAGGAGCCAGAATGCAATTCAAGGTGGCCCCTACAGGAGTCGGTCTTCTGTGAAAGGCAAACCATAGGTTTGTTCTGAAGGGAGGGAATCCCTTTGTGTGCTTTAAGTCTTCTAGCTTAAGTCTTCTATCAACTCACATTATTAATCTCGCAAAGCCTATCAGGGAGAAATGGAAGAATTCAAGCTTGTGAAGATCCCTCCGTGTTCCCCAAAAGAAGCTTCTCGGACCTGGGGCCCTTCCTGCTTCTTCTCTTCTCTGCCAGGCTCAGAAGGGATCTTGCAGGCAACTGGTCTCCGCTGGCTCTCCAAAGATCCTTCCAGCCTCCGAATCAGAATCTGAAGGAGATGTGAGCAAGATGTTCCTTTAGGCTTCCTTCTCTCCTTCCCCCTCCCCAATTGTTGGATCTCCCCCAAGCACAGTCAAGAGCAGTTATGGGGGCTGGTTTCCCGATCCCTCTAATCCTCACAATCTCGTTCCCTCCCCTGAGGAGGATCTGAGTCGATCCTTGCCCGCCCCCACCAGATTCCCAGGGAGCGACTCGCAGCCGGAACTACGCGACCAGGCAGACGGAGTAGAGCATGCGCAGTGGGCTAGTCAGTCGGCAGCCAAGAGAGCGCCCCCTGCTGGCCCCTGGCATGGAATCTGGCTGTCGGGGCAGCTCTGGAGGGATGGAGAGAGAGAGAGAGAGAGAGAGAGAGAGGGAGAAAGACCCTCAAAGCTTCAAGGAAAACAGACACAGGAAAAGTGAAAGGTTTTCTAGAAAGTAAAAGTGACCTTCCCTTGTCAAGGGTGGGGGAATGGGAGGGACCATTGATGCTGGGGGGAAAGGGTGGGAGAACTGGACTGGGACCCCTCTCAGGAGACGTTGAGTAAAGGCTGCAGGGCGAAGAAGGGAGCTTGCGAGACTCCTCCCCTTTCCTCTTGGCCACGCCCCTGCCGTGCTATTCCCTCAGACGGAGTAGCGGGGAAAGGATTTCCGAGAGGGATGGGAGGAGCCTATTCTGGCGGGAACAGCGGAGAGGCAGAGCGGTTGAGGTGCCTCTGAGGGAAGAGTCAGCATGTGGGGGGCTGGCAGAACTCTGGGGCTCCTCAGGGAGGGACTCGACTCTCCCTTTCTCTGGACGACACCCCGAATTGGGCCTCCTCCTGGTCCCCTCTTCTCCCTCAGCCTCGTGTCCCCCTCAGGAGCCCCCCCCCCCAGGGACCGTTTGAAGTCACTGAGGCGAATGAATCGGACCATGTCCATATTGGATTCCCTTCACGCTCTCTGCCTCCACTCGCCCCTCAAAGACGCCTCAGAATAATGACGACGTTTCTTCTAGGGCTTCATTTTCAAAGGGAAGGAGTGGAATCGCTGGCTGGTACTAAGGAAAGTATTGTCCTTTTTCAATTAATGCAGTATTTAATGATATTAAATAGGAAGGTAAATGTAGACGCTGCCTGGACCACCACCACCCCCTGACTCCAAACACAAATCCTTAAAGGCCAAAAATTCCTTCCAAGTTGTAAAAAGAGGCAAAAGGCTGAAATTTTCTGGCTCCCCTTTGAGTCCTCTGGTATAAAGGAAGAAGGGAAAGTTGGAACACTGATATCACCTTAGTCCTTCATTTCATTAAACTAGACATATCTCATTCCTGCAACTATTCTTCATATGTTTTAGCCATAGTCATCTTTGCTGCTCTTCTCTTCACTCTTTCCAGAGTCTCCCCATCTTTTTTATATCGTGGTGACCAAAACTGGATGCGATAATCCAAGTGTGGTCTTTATAATGTAAATTGATGCATTCGTTGTGTCAAAATCTGTCAAAACCTGTCTGGTCAAACTGCTTTATCTAGGCAAGAAGCAGCATCTGAAGTAAGTCTCGCCAGGCTCCACGCTTTGTGGAGAGTTGATGTAATTGTGTTCACACTATTGGCCTTCTTTAAACATGTAGCAAGATACATAAGCTGTTCATTCTTTTTTCATATATGTGCATATGTTTCGTTTAGAAGTGAATCTTTTTTTTCTGAATA